GACAGATGCATGTTTCTGTCCTGTGACCTCTCCTTCAGTGTAGGTTGGTGGACTTGCTCAGTGGGGTAGCTTTTCTCTATCCTTTTCCAGGGCAGTTTCTGTAACCTGTAGGCGGTGGGGTTTTAAAATAAATAGCGAGGGGAAGGTAATTCGCATATTCCTGATGCTGTGCTGAAGACTTACTTAGATAACATGATGGATACTCCTAAGCAAGGACTGGCCATGGACGTAATAATTGATCTGAAACTACTGTTAAAACCTGCCTACCCCTCCTTACAGAGTTTAGTAGATTAGATCAGAGCAAAATACAGGAAAGTGAGGCAGCAGACCAACATATCGACAGCCTGTATTTCCTGCTTATTTTTTGCAGAAATATATATTTGAGGGTAAAGAGGGGAGGATCCAGTAGATCTGTTTGAATCTGATGGCAGAAGAAAGACCCTGAAAGAATGGAGACAAAATGAAGAAGGAACTCTCATTTAAATAACAGCTCTCCCACTTCATCACAAGCATTTGGATTTGGTGTTAATTGAATAAAGAAAGAAGCTGAAGTCCAGAAATTTCTTTCCAGTTGCTTCATTGCCAGTAAGCTATATCAGTGATTTGTGTCCACTGATTTCACAAATTATAATACTACCCATTTTTGAATATAATTATAATCTTTTTGAGTTAACCTGTTTTTCTCTGATGATGGTGATGGATTTTTATTGCTTCATCCACCCTTGCACATCTGCTACCCTTTGGCTAAGAACGTATTATGAGATGTGAGTTGGGGCAGGGCTTTTTCTTGGCTGACCTAAGAGACTACCCCAAGAGTGTATGCGGAAAGAGGTTGCCAGGTAATTGCTAAAAGGCTGGAAAGTAAAGCACAGCTGTCCCTAGGAACATGCCAGCCCACATGTCCCGTCACAGCTATTGATGCTTGTCTGTTTGAGTATCTAAGCCACAAGATAAAAGCCAGGCTGTGGGGAACCTTCCATGGGACTTTTGCCCCCTACGCCCTCCCACACCTGCATGAAAGCCAAGAGGTTTTCCAATGGGCTAGTCCAAGCCCAAGTTTAATAGTTCTCAAAGATTACTTCACACACTATCAGGAATGAGATAATGGAACAGTTAATTATATCAGTCTCAGAGACAGAGCAGGGTTGAATCCCAATTCAGGAGTTTACTATCTGTGTGACTTTTACCAAATACAGTGGTACTTTGGTACTCATTGTTAATTTGTTCTAGAACTCATGACGAGTGCTGAAACTGATGGGTACTGAACGAATTTTTCAAGCGACGAGCAATGAAGCATTTTCTCTTGTGGGTGGTGTCATGACTCATACAAGTTTTAGCAAGTTTGGTGAGTCCTGAGCCAGTGCCAAGTGCTGAAACAGTTTTTTCTTGTCCAAAGGTGACGAGTCTAGGGTTTGGCGAGTTCTGAAGCCGATGAGTACTCAGGTATGGCTGTAATTAAACTCTCTGAGCCTCAGTTCTGCCACCTCCAAAGTGGGTCACTAATGTCTACTGCAGAGGGTGATTGTGAGGGCACTGTGCATTGTACAGTCACAGGGGTGCAATGCGGACCAACTGCGATGGAAATGACAGCCGTGCTGGTTAGTGTAAGTATTAGATAGAACAATATGCGTAAAGAAGCCCAGCCTGGTGTCCAGGATCATGTTTAGGAACGGAATCTAGTGTTACTCTCTTAGGCAATTGACTATCATTTGCGGTTGTGCTACTTGAAACGTGTTTCTAAGAAGGAAAATAGATTGGGGCACAGAAACATAACGTGCAAAGATTGACTGGAGATCAGAAAGTGTTTTCACGATCAGGGAATGGGAAGACTTTCCATATTCCGGAACTCAGAGGCTATATCCTAAAAGATCTGAATAGCCTACTGAGGGCTTTGGGTTTGCCTTCAGGGCAAGAGGCAATGATGAAGAGGTTTAAGGGGAGCGAGAGTCAGACCTGCTCTTTAGGAAGTTCATTTTGGCTGAAACGTGAAGAATGAATGGCATGATGAGATTTGGCAGCAATGTGGAGGCAGAGGTTAATCATATCGGTCTCAGAGACGGGCACAGGTTTGGGTCTCTGTTCAGTGTTTGCTCCCTGTGTGCAGCTACTCACCTTTTCTAATCCTTACGGGCTGCCAAGACATTTCAAGTTGCATATCTTCCAAAAGGGTCACTACAAACATGCCTCTCTCCTTTTTAAACTTTAGATCTCTACCGTATCATTTTTATACCTGCCAGGCACTGGGATCATTTATAAAACAAATTTTTTAATAATAGTCAAAAGCTGGTCTTTTTGTTTCTACCCTTGCCCCTGCAGTCATCCCCCACTGAACCAGCAGAGGTCCTTCGACAAAGGAAATCACATCGTATTCGTGATCAGAGCCTCCCTGTGATTCCCATCGCCCTCTCAGCCAAAGTCAGTGCCTTATGGTGGCCTCAGGGCCCCTTATGGTCCATCTCCACTGTGTTCCCTCCCCTGAGCCCTGCCCCCTTTGCTCACTGCCCTTTCGTCACACTGGTTTCTCTGCGGTTCCTACACTATGCAAAGTACAATCCCATTCATCAGGGTCTCCGCAGCACTTGGAATTACCTTCATGCTGATATCCATCCACAAGGCTTGGTCCCTTCCTGCCTTCAGGACTTTGCTAAAATGTCCCCTTATCAGAAAGGCTTTTCTTAACCATCTTGCATAAATCACATATGCTGTGTGTGTGTACCCACTGACACACACATAGACGCTTGTCCCTTCAGGGGTCTACGTGTGTTGACTCCCCACTCGACTACAGCACTTTTTCACGTCTGACATTTGTATTTTTTGGTTTGTTTCTGTCCACTAGAATCTAAGGTCTGGGAACAGAGACTTTTTAAAGAGCTTATTGATAAATTCTCAGGACCTAGAAGAGAACCTAAAAGGTCCTTCTGAAATACGTATTAGGTGGCACGCATAAATATTTGTGGAACAGCTGCATGAAGGAGTTAGACATAGACCTTCCACTACTCTTGTGGGCCGGTCAATGTCGCCTTGTTTTAGAAGATCCTACAACTCACCCAAGCCCTATAATGACTGAACAAGCAGGCACAGTGACCATGAACTTTTGCGTATTCTGAAAATCTGCTTCAGTTGTTCTGCCTTTAACTTAAGAGTGAAATTCTGCCACCGCCTCCCTCTGTTGCGTCTTCTCTTGCATGGGGAAACGTCAGAGCTCATCTCCCAACAGTGATGAGCTGTGAAGGGCTTTTGGTGATGGCAGGCTCTCTGAAGGTCTGCCAGAATGTGGCTGGCAGGGGGAGGGCAGTTTCCTGGGCTCTGGTGCAGTTTCTGGAGGAGGTAGGTGAATGTGGGGGAGACTCTCAGACAGCCTGAGACTGTGAAAGACTCTAATCCAGCTCCACTGTTAAGCTTTTATTGGGCCACAAGGCTGTGTTCTGACCCAAGACCCCTTCCTATCCCTACTTTACCTGATGTCATCTGACCTTTCAGACGGGAGTTGTCCTGACTTAGCGCGGACCCTCCTCTCTCTTAGCCTTCCACCGATCCCCGGAGGCAGAGAGGATGCCAGGTCCGAGCTGAGTGTTGCCTAAGCTGGTGGGTGAATTTAGAGCCATGGTGGCCCCATCCACCACTTTGCTTTGCTTTCCAAGCTTTGTGCTGCTCAGTGACTCTGTTGCCATAACCCTAATTGCCTACAGCCCTTCATCAGATGTTACTTTGCGGTCACTGTCATTCTGCCACATGAGCTTATTTAAATGGAATTATTGCTCCTGCACTTTTTGGTCACTTGAACCCTCTTATAGAAGTAAGATGTGTTTTAGAAGGACCATGGAAAGTATGACATCAACACCAAGAAGGAACACTTCATGGCTGGTAACGCTGATTTCACAGCCTGCCAGGCAAGAATCTTAACACACAACCAGACTTGGGCCTGGTTATCTCCCTTTGCTGTTGTGGGCAGCCTGCAGGGCCTCTAGCAAGATCAGTACCCAGATGTGCAGAGCTGTGCTTGAAGAACCAGAGGCCCAGCTGCTAATGCATTGGGAGACCTGGGCTTGCCGAAAATTAGGAGGAAATATGCTCTTGTCAAACATGCTTTTAAAAACTATACTTAATGTGTGGAAGTATTGTACTACTTCCACACATTGGAATTTTTTTCCTCAAGTACAAACACCATTGAGCTTTGAGTGCAGGCATGTGTGAAGATTTCTATGTATTTCCAAATACATTTGGCGCATAAGACATGATTTCATGAAATTTAGTGTAAGGTGTGCTCCAGAATTTAAGATTATCACCAGGAGCTGTGTTGGGAGGAATTTAAAGTCTGAACTTCAAAGCATCCTTTTTTTTTTTTTTTTTTTTTTTTGCCTTTTTTCTTAGATTTATTTAGGTTGATAAAATTAGCAAAATATTCCAAAGCAGCTTCTCCCCACACTTTATAAAGGATTATAAAAATGTCAAAAAACATTAATGAAAGGGGAGATGGCTTAGGAGGTAACATTCCTGACCCTGATTGCCTCATCCAGAAAACTCAGGACCACCCCTAAAGCATCAGTCTTAATAAGGTGATTTTGGCAATGAAAGAGTTTCTGGAAGGTAATTGTACTAACCAAAATTTAGAAAAAAATCTGCATTCGCAACAAGGAGAAAATGATTTAATGCTTCAAAAGTTTGGGGTTTTCCCCCTTTTAATTAGCTGTTAACATGAATAAATATGTACACAGCAAGGCAAGGTTATAATTGAACTGTTTATTTCCAGTAAGTCAACTGTACGTATTGCTTGGTGAATGGAACTGTGTTTAGAAAATCTACAAACAGTGAGATTGAGTTATAAACTTTACTTAATCACTGATGGATTCTTAGAATAATGATTTACCATACATGGTGTGATAGTCAAGTATAGACAAATCATTGGTAAAATTATATAAAAGTAAGTAATTAGTCATGCCTTGGATCTGGCTCTAATGATGCAATTTTTCCCCACCCAACCCCCATCTTATTTTTACCAGTAGGTTGGGACAGTTGGAAGTCTGCCGTTGTGCAACATGCTGCGAGTAAGTCTCTCATCCACCTTTTCGCTGGGATTTCACCTGTTAGCCATCATGGCTGTCTTATTTTCCTATGTGGACCATATAAGCGCTGAGACAGAGATGGAAGGAGAAGGCAATGAAACTGGCGAGTGTACTGGCTCCTATTACTGTAAGAAAGGGGTGATTTTACCCATTTGGGAGCCCCAAGACCCTTCCTTTGGGGACAAAATTGCTAGAGCTACTGTGTATTTTGTGGCCATGGTCTACATGTTTCTCGGAGTCTCTATCATTGCCGACCGGTTCATGTCCTCTATAGAAGTCATCACATCTCAAGAAAAAGAAATAACCATAAAAAAGCCCAATGGAGAGACCACCAAGACAACTGTGAGGATCTGGAATGAGACGGTTTCCAACCTGACCTTGATGGCCCTGGGATCTTCCGCTCCAGAGATTCTCCTCTCGGTCATTGAAGTGTGTGGCCATAACTTCACCGCAGGAGACCTGGGTCCTAGCACCATTGTGGGAAGTGCTGCATTCAATATGTTCATCATCATCGCACTTTGTGTTTACGTGGTCCCAGATGGAGAGACAAGGAAGATTAAGCATCTGCGTGTGTTCTTTGTGACGGCAGCCTGGAGCATCTTTGCCTATACCTGGCTTTACATTATTTTGTCTGTCATCTCTCCTGGGGTCGTGGAGGTCTGGGAAGGTTTACTGACTTTCTTCTTCTTTCCCATCTGTGTTGTGTTTGCTTGGGTGGCAGACAGGAGGCTTCTGTTTTACAAGTATGTCTACAAGAGGTACCGGGCTGGCAAGCAGAGGGGAATGATTATTGAACATGAAGGAGACAGGCCATCTTCCAAGACTGAAATTGAAATGGATGGGAAAGTGGTCAATTCCCATGTTGACAATTTCTTAGATGGCGCTCTGGTTCTGGAGGTCGATGAGAGGGACCAGGACGATGAAGAGGCTAGGCGAGAAATGGCTAGGATTCTGAAGGAACTCAAGCAGAAGCATCCAGAGAAAGAAATAGAGCAATTAATAGAATTAGCTAACTACCAAGTCCTGAGTCAGCAGCAAAAGAGTCGCGCATTTTACCGCATTCAAGCCACTCGTCTGATGACGGGAGCTGGCAACATTTTAAAGAGGCATGCAGCCGACCAAGCAAGGAAGGCTGTCAGCATGCATGAGGTCAACACTGAAGTGGCTGAAAATGACCCTGTCAGTAAGATCTTCTTTGAACAAGGGACATATCAGTGTCTGGAGAACTGTGGGACTGTAGCCCTGACCATTATCCGCAGAGGCGGGGATTTGACCAACACCGTGTTTGTGGACTTCAGAACCGAGGACGGTACAGCCAATGCTGGGTCTGATTATGAATTTACTGAAGGAACTGTGGTCTTTAAGCCTGGCGAGACCCAGAAGGAAATCAGAGTTGGCATCATCGATGATGATATCTTTGAGGAGGATGAAAATTTCCTCGTGCATCTCAGTAATGTCAAAGTGTCTTCGGAAGCTTCAGAAGATGGCATCCTGGAAGCCAACCATGTTTCTACCCTCGCTTGCCTCGGCTCTCCCTCCACAGCCACCGTGACTATTTTTGATGATGACCACGCAGGCATCTTTACTTTCGAGGAGCCCGTGACCCATGTGAGTGAGAGCATCGGCATCATGGAGGTGAAAGTGCTGAGAACATCTGGAGCTCGAGGAAATGTTATTGTTCCCTATAAAACCATTGAAGGGACAGCCAGAGGTGGAGGAGAGGACTTTGAGGACACTTGTGGAGAGCTCGAATTCCAGAACGATGAAATTGTGTAAGTTCCTTTTTTATTTATGTGTGTGTTGAGTGCGTTTGTGGGGGTGAGAATGTGGGCATGCTCTTTTAAACTAAATGGCATCCCAGGAGTGGAATAGTTACTCTACCGGGCCACTTTCCGTCCTCATCCTTACTCATGTACCATTAGTATGGTCTGTACATGGAGATCTTAATTTGATTTTATTTGTACTTTGGCACTTTTACATATTTTAAGTGCATTAGAGATCATGATCAAATAAGTCTTATGACAGTTTATCAAACCACTTAGCCTGGGTTGAAAAATTTGTGTTCTATTTTGGATCACATAATATACACACAGTAAGGAGATATTTATGTCATCACATCAGGTCCCTGACTTCATTACTGGGTACTAATTAGGAAAGCCCAAAGAGGGAAAACCTCTGAAAAGATTTTCCTGGCTATCAGGGCAACAATTTCTGTTGCTTTTATCTGACTCTGTGGTTTTGTGATAATGTAAGAGAACTTTTTGCTTAAATGCCAATTCTTAATTATGACTTAATGACCAATCCTGATTTCTTAGTTTTAGGCCAACAAGGAAAAGTCACATAACTTATTTATTTCCAGTCTCATTTTATTTTATGTGATTAAACAAACCTGTTTGTCCTACTGATATAGTGATGGGGAGAAAAGTAAGCTTCTGTCCAAGCATCCTAGTTGACAGGGTGCAGGTCAGGGAAAAGAAGCAAAGGAATGATTTATTCTTTCTTTTGCCACTTTACAGTGACATTTGCTAACATTGTAACATGTAGTGCCTGGCTGTACACTGGTTTTTCCACTGATAGTTGCTATTTAGAGAGCTATTCGTCCTCCCTTATCCAGAAAATTTGACTCGATGAGCAATGTCCAAGCTAGAAAGAAGGAAGAAAGGAAACTATTTATAGTATCTGCAGTGCAATAAAGGATAATAAAATGAATATGTCGGTGAATCATTGCTCACTTAGGAATTTCAGGAGAAATATAAAAGGTAGTTTGTCCTCCCAATGGTTAACTCAGCAAGTACATTCTCTCCAAGATGAAATTTCTACTAAAAGCATGGGGAAACAAACACGGCAGTGGGCGGGGGTGGGGCAGAGGGAATAGATTTTCCTAAGCCTTCCAATGTCTTTGACACTGTTTTACAGAAATGAACAATTACTGAGTCTGATATCACAATGAAATCACACAAAACAGAGATTATCATATCCACCTTGGGATGTGCATGTGGAGGGATAGCTTTTGATGACTATGTATTTTATGCTGGTTCTTATAATGTTAATGTTTCACTTATTGACATGTGTTTTGTTAGGACACATGTTTTATTAAACGATAGTAATATGGTAGCAAATGAATATCCTGCATATCCCAGGAAAGATTTTCCCAAAGGCCTTGTGTCAAATGTGATCCTGCCCAAGTTAGCATATAAACGCTATTCCTTTGCTAGGAATTCTGCCTTGTTATATTTTCTAATCATTTCAGTTATTGAACCCTCTTGTCTTAGATAGCACTTGTAAGCCATATAAAAGTGTATTACATATTATTAGAGTATTGCATGTTATTAAATGAACTCACAAGGGTAGCCCTCAAATATGGCCACATTGGTGTTTTGTTTATTCATTTTACTTAGGATGTTTCCTCATGAAAATTTGGTCTTTCTTTCTTTTAATAATGGCTCTGAGCTTGTTTATTTGAGAGGCTTCTCCTGTCTATTCTGCTGTCCAGGACTCTTACCAAACCATAAATAAATAACCTTCTTTTGGGCACAGTGTAGAAAAAGGCGGGGCGGGGGGGGGGGAGATGAGAGATTTGATGGAATAATTTATTCTGCCAGCTCCATTTAAAACAGTCACCCTATGCCATCAAGTTGATTCAATTCTTGCTAAGGAAGAGCAGTGCCAAGCTCTTGCTTTAGAAATTTATATATCTTGTGAAAAGGGGTAAGAATTGGTAAAATTATCAGTATGGCATCTCTATATACATGTTCTTAGGGCTATTTGAGACCAATTGCCAGTTCCTAGTTTTAAAATTTCTTACTGAATTGTATTCACTATTGTTGAAATATGAAGTTTTAGAAATGGCAAAACATTTTGATTATCATTTGAATAAAATTAAAGCCCTACAATTTTTTCCTTTTCTAGAATTTCAATGTTAAAGAATTTTTATCTTGACATTATAGAGTTTTACCAATGATGAAAAACTTGACAGATGCTTAGTAGGTCTCTTCCTTAAATAAATTTGTTTGAGTGACTGGGACTTACCCTGAAGATAAGCACCAAAGATTCAAACACAATATTTCTAGAAAAGTATAATATTATCAGAGTTCCCTCATTCTGTATTTTTTATGGATCATGTTTCTTCTGGTAGTTGCTCCCAACAGCAGGTCCACACAGTCATATCCAAATGAGAGTTTTGTCCTCATGCAATGAAATTGAACTATGTATAGTCAATCCAATTTATCTGTAAGAATGAAATTTTATCTCATCCAATTACACAGTTAATCTCAAGAGGTTACTTTCTTCAAAACATACAATACGTAGATGGGACTGTTGGTAGTACTGAGCTTAATTAAATACTTCAAAAAATGTTTGTTTGTTTAATGCTCTGCACAGAGCCAGAATTTATGATTCTTCCCAGAGTACCATAAAGAAATTCCTGGAAATACCTGGATTTAAAAGCTATCTAATTTTTAGAAGCCATTAACCAAGGTAGAAAACAGGGTCTAGTGTGATCAGGGGTGGAGATCAAAGGCAGTCCGCATTATTGAACCTTTGGTTTTAAGAGCAAAATAGATTCCTTGTCTTTGATCTTATTTTTAGTATAGAAGTCATTTAAATGTATAAGTATGTCTATGCCTATTCATTTATATTTTTATAGAAATGAGTTAAATTATTTCTATCTGATCTTTTTAAGATCAAATTCTATATTTGAGAAAAACACTGATAAATCATATGTGGTGTTTGTAGGCTCTAATAAAATGCATTCTTGGCAAAACATTTTAAAATCATAATGGAAAGATCTAATAAATAGATATAATTAACAGTTAGCCCATGTGTTTGTATAAACTCAATCAATGACAAATACTAAACCCATGCCAACCAATCTTGACTTTCAACAAGGAATTCTGTCTAATGTTTACCGCTAATAAAAAATAAATGAAGAATATGCTAATTTGACTTGTGGTTTGGTAGGTGATATCCACAAAGTTGGCATGCTACTAGTGGATGTTTTTTAATGATGCTGGTGTAATAGTGATAATTACTACAAAATGTTGTTTGGTCTTCCAAGATCTAACTTAGCTTGACTATTCCAGAAAATGTTAAGGTTAATTAACTAATACAGATACAAATCCAATTTAATTATAGTACTTAGTTATAGCTCAGCATTAGTATCATTTTTGGAAGACATTTCAAAAGATCACCATCATTTCTTATTATATATTTAAAATGTAGGGTTAAAAAGCAAAGTATGTAGGTTGGAAATTTTTTATAATATTTTGCTTAGCAAATCAGTTGACTGGGCATTCCAGAGCAGCATCATTTATTAAATGATAGATCTGCCCAAAATTAATTTTGTTTTAACAACTATTACATTTTCAAGTATGATTATAACTTTATTAACTAGGAAATAAAATATGCAAGACATCCTAACAAATACAGCATTTTGACACTAAATATTTACATTACTTTGTTAGGGAAAAGAAATAGAAAAAAATAAAATTTTATTATTATATAAATTTCATGGAATTATTATTATTATATTCCAGAGAAAATAAATACTTTGTTTTTCTACCTATATTATCAGTATTCTTTTGCTCTATAGAATTCTAAGGAATAAGACCTGGTTTTGGGAGAGAGCAGTTCAATTCTGAGAATAGATCAAACATGTAATATAAAAAGGGAGCCAGCTATTAAAAAAAAAAAGTAGAAACAAACAAAAATATTAAGAAAACTTGAAGTGAAAGAAGATAATTATGTGTGTTTGGGGAATCAGAAGTGATGAAAAATACTAGAGAAAATAATGTAAGGCCAGAAAGGCTATTAGTACATGTTACCATGATTACAACAGAGTGAAGATTTACTTTATGGCAGAAGGATTTCATCTGCTACAGTTAACCTACTAAATTTAACTGTTGCATTAAAACTTAACTTATTTAATTAAAGTTAAACATAAATATTTTACATTGACATAAAATTTTCCTAGGTAATACATTAATGTAAGCAATTTAGGTGGAATAATTTTAGGATTTTAATGGAGCTCTGCTTTGGTGGATTATCTTTTCAGACTGGAATATTTATTGCTTCTTAGAACCAAACCACATGTAGTATCTGCAAATCTAAATTACAACTACAAGAAAAGTTTTTATAGATGCATATGCTTTCATGAATGCATAACATTTGTAACAGTAAGACAGGGTGAAAGTAAAGAAAAACATTTATGACTTTGTACTCACTACTGCCAGGAGGAGCCTTAATTAATTGTGTGCATAAGGTTGTTTACCATGTCAACCATGTTTGCTGTTGTAATCTCATTTTCCTATTGCTAATTAGAGTTTGGGGTTATAACAAAGCTATGCAAAGAAATTTTATCTTAGCAAATAAGGAGGTTTCATAGTTTAGACACACTGAACTGTGTAAATTACAGGCTGTTTTCTGAGTCATCATTCAAGGCCATTACATACGGGGCTAAATGCTTCACTCGTTCAAGGCTAGAGAAGAATTTATATATCAATCAATCTGCACATACTTAATAAGCTCTGATTTGTGCCCATCACGGGACTAATCATGATGAAGGAAACAACAATGTACCACTTACACTGTAAAATGGGAGATGAGATAACTCACATTTTGGTAAATACAAACCAATCATGAAGACACGGTGCAAGCTGTAGAAGCCCTAATTTTGGACAAAATATTTGCATTTACTTTTGAAGGACAGAAGGCATATTTGGAGAGAAAAAAACATCATGTGCATTTCAAGATGGAGCCCTATCGTGGTGAACCT